GGCCTCCCAAAGTGCTGGGATTACAGGCTTGAGCCACCGCGCCCGGCCTGGGTCCTGGTTTCTTTAGGACTTTCTGCTGCTCTCAGGCCCAAGTGCATAGGCCTTACTATCCCCTGTGAAAACGGAGGCTTGGAGAGGCCAAGCGACTGGCCAGGGTCCCAGAGCCTGGAGGGAGGAGAGCCGGGACTGGAGCGTGTGGTGTGGGCTGGGACCACTGGCACTCATCCCGCCTGTCTCCCCGCAGGTGGCGATGGTGGAGGTGCAGCTGGACGCTGACCACGACTACCCGCCAGGGCTACTCATTGCCTTCAGCGCCTGCACCACGGTGTTGGTGGCTGTGCACCTGTTTGCGCTCATGATCAGCACCTGCATCCTGCCCAACATCGAGGCGGTGAGCAACGTGCACAACCTCAACTCGGTCAAGGAGTCGCCACACGAGCGCATGCACCGCCACATCGAGCTGGCCTGGGCCTTCTCCACCGTCATCGGCACTCTGCTCTTCCTGGCTGAGGTCGTGCTGCTCTGCTGGGTCAAGTTCTTGCCCCTCAAGAGGCAGCCAGGCCAGCCGAGGCCCACCAGCAAGCCCCCAACCGGTGGCGCGGTCGCCAACGTCAGCACCAGCGGCATCACCCCAGGCCAGGCGGCCGCCATCGCGTCCACCACCATCATGGTGCCCTTCGGCCTGATCTTCATCGTCTTCGCTGTCCACTTCTACCGCTCACTGGTCAGCCATAAGACGGACCGACAGTTCCAGGAGCTCAACGAGCTGGCGGAGTTTGCCCGCTTACAGGACCAGCTGGATCACAGAGGGGACCACCCCCTGACGCCCGGCAGCCACTATGCCTAGGCCCTTGCAGTCGGGGCCATTCCAGCGCGTTGCCCTTAGCCCTTCCCCATGACCTTGTCCTGCCCCAGCCTCACGGACAGCCTGTGCAAGGGGCTGGGCTGCAGCAGGGGGCAGAGCGTGGAGGGAAGAGCCTTTTTGTAAGAGAAATTTCTGCACTTTGAAACTGTCCTCTAGGAGAATAAGCACTTCCTGTTCTTCCAGCTCCGGGTCCACCTCCTGTTACAAGGCGGTGGGGGGCCAAAGTGGGGCCACAGGCTCGCTGTGTCTCCTCTCCTCCCCTGTGCCGGTGCCACCTGGGTGCCTCCTGTCCTGTCCGTCTCAGCCTCTCTCCCGTCCAGCGTTGAGTGTGAACATGTGCGTGTGACACATAAATATACTCATAAGGACACCTGCTTCCTGTGTCTTGCGTTTGTTGGGCCGGGCTACTGGTATCATGCCTCAACCTGGTTAGGTGAGCCTCTAGGCAAACTTAAAACACATTCTTGTTTGTTTTTGTTTTTCTGAGATGGAGTTTCACTCTTGTTGCCCAGACTGGAGTGCAGTGGCGTGATCCACAAAGTCATCATGGGCAGGGTGCGGTGGCTCACGCCTGTAACCCAAGCTCTTTGGGAGGCCAAGGTGGGTGGATCACCTGAGGTCAGGAGTTTGAGACCAGCCTAGCCAACATGGAGAAACCTTGTCTCTACTAAAAATACAAAATTAGCTGGGCATTGTGGCACATGCCTGTAATCCCAACTTCTTGGGAGGGGAAGGCTGAGGCAGGAGAATCTCTTAAAACCAGGAGGTGGAGGTTGCGGTGAGCTGAGATGCACACCATTGCACTCCAGCCTGGCCAAGAAAAGTAAAACTCCATCTCAAAAAAATAAATAAAAATAGGCCAGGCACAGTGGCTCACATCTGTAATCCCAACACTTTGGGAGGCCAAGGCTGGCAGATCACCTGAGGTTAGGAGTTCAAGACCAGCCTGACCAACATGGTAAAACCTCGTCTCTACTAAAAATACAAAGCCAAGTGTGGTGGCATGCCCCTGTAATCTCAGCTACTTGGGAGGCTGAGGCGGGAGAATGGCTTGAACCCAGGAGGCAGAGGTTGCAGTGAGCTGAGATTGCACCACTACACTCCAGCCTGGGTGACTGAGCGACACTCTTATCTCAAAAAAAAAAAACAAAGTATCTGACGCACACATTTTCTCCATATAGACGTCCATCATAACCTTCCTGCACTGAGGAATATTAGCATTCCAGTATTACACTTGGGGACAATTTTGTTTTATTCTACTTTATTTTACTTATTTTATATATATATATGTATGTGTGTGTATATATATATATATATATATTTTTTTTTATATATATATATATTTTTTTTTAGAAAGTCTTACTCTGTTGCCCAGGCTGGAGAGCAGTGGCACACTCTCCGTTCACATGCAACCTCCTCTTCCCAGATTCAAGTGATTCTTCTGCCTCAGCCTCCCGAGAAGCTGGAATCACAGGTGTACGCCACCATGCCTAGCTAAATTTTGTACTTTTAGTAGAGAGGGGGTTTCGCCATGTTGGCCAGGCTGGTCTTGAACTTCTGACCTCAAGTTATCTGCCCAAAGGCTGGGATTGCAGACATCAGCCAATGCTTCCGGCCTATTTTATTGTAGAGACAGGGTTTTCCTCTGTCGCCCAGGCTGGAGTGCAGTGGCATGACGACAGCTCACTGTAACCATCAACTCCTGAGCTGAAGTGATCCTTCTGTGAGCTCTGGTCATGCCACCTCCCAAGTAGCTGAGACTACAGGCACATACTGTCATGCCCGGCTATTTATTCATTTTTTTGAGACAGAGTTTCACTCTTGTTGCCCAGGCTGGAGTGCAATGGTGCGATCTCAGCTCACTGCAACCTCTGCTTCCTAGGTTCAAGTGATTCTCCTGTCTCAGCCTCCCAAGTAGCCGGGACTACACACACGCGCTACCACACCCTGCTAATTGTTTGTATTTTTAGTAGAGGTGATGTTTCACCATGTTGGCCAGGCTAGTCTCGAACTCCTGACCTCAGGTGATCCAACTGCCTCGGCCTCCCAAAGTGCTGGGATTATAGGCGTGAGCCACTGTGCCCAGTCAGCCATGCCCAGCTAATTTTTTTTTTTTTTTTTTTAAATTTTGCTGATCCTGAGAATACTTTGCGGTGAAAAAAAAAAGAAAAAGTTTTGTCGAGATGGGTTCTTGCTATGTTGCCCAAACTGGTCTTGAACTCCTGAGCTCAAGCGATTCTCTCCCCTCAGCCTCCCAAAGCAGTGGGTTTATAGGCATGGGCCACTGCAGCCAGCTGGGAACCATCATAAATGGCAAAATCAATAAAAAGCATAAAAATGTGGAAAATATGACACTAAGTAGATAGTGAAAAGAACACTTAGCAGGCTGCCAGAGTCAGATACTGAGACTGCAGACTGAGGATGTGTCTGTCTTCCCTGAGCCGTGTGCTGTAGTTACCCCTATGGTCCTTCATGCCTAAGTACTTCCTCCTCAAACTAAGGACATTTCCCTACATAATGACAATCCAGTGATCAAATCCAGGAAACCTGATGTTGATGCAGTTACGGGTTACAACATTCCTGTTCAGTTTTCCCAAATGTCCCAGCAATGTCCCTTCTAGCAACACCTTTTCCACTTCAGGATTGTGTATCACAATGAGATGTCACTTAGTCTCCTTTATTATTTTTATTTTATGTTATTTATTTATTTGGTTTTTTTGAGACAGAGTGTCACTCTGTCGCCCAGGCTGGAGTACAGTAGCCCGATCTTGGCTCACTGCAAGCTCTGCCTTCCGAGTTCAGGCGATTGTCCTGCCTCAGCCTCCTGAGTAGCTGGGACTACAGGCACATGCCACCACACCCGGCTAAATTTTTGCATTTTAGTAGAAAAGGGATTTCACCACCTTGGCCAGGATCGTCTTGATCTCCTGACCTCATGATCCGCCTTCCTCGGCCTCCCAAAGTGCTGGGATTACAGGCATGAGCCACTGCACCTGGCCTATTACTATTATTTTTTGAGAGAGAGTCTCGCTTTGTTGCATGGCTGGAGTACAGTGGCCCGATTTCAGCTCACTGCAACCTCTGCCTCCCAGGTTCAAGTAATTCTCCTGCCCCATCCTCCCAAGTAGCTGGGATTACAGGTGTACACCACCACACCTGGCTAACTTTTATATTTTTAGTAGAGATGGTGTTTCACCCTGTTGGCCAGGCTGGTCTCGAGTTCCTGACCTCAGGTGATCCACTCGCCAGGTGAACCACTGATTACTTCCCAAAGTGCCGGGATTACAGGCTTACGCCACTGCACCCAGCCTTAGTCTCCTTTAATTTCGCAATTCCTTAGCGTTTTTTATTTGTTTGTTTATTTGTTGGTGTTTGAGACAGGGACTTGCTCTGTCACCTGGGCTAGAGTGCAGCCTCAACATCCTAGGCTCAAGCAATCCTTCCACCTCAGCCTCCCGAGTAGCTGGGAATACAGGCACCTGCCACTATGCCTAGATAATGTTTGTATTTTTTGTAGAAACGGAGTCTCTCTCTTGCCCAGGCTGGTCTTGAACTCCTGGCTTCAAGGGATACTCCCACCTTGACCTCCCAAAGTGCTGGGATTGCATTTGTGAACCACAGCGCCTAGGCTAGCCTTTCTCTTTTTAAAAATTATTAGTATTATTATTATAGAGACAGGGTCTTACTCTGTAACCCAGACTGGAGTGCAATGACATGATCACAGCTCACCACACCTCTGACCTCCAGAGCTCAAGCAATCCTCTCACCCCCTCCCAAAAAGCTAGGACTACAGGTGCGTACAACTGTGCACAGCTAATTTTCATATTTTTTGTAGAGACAGGGTTTTGCCATGTTGCCCCAGCTAAGTTTTTTTCACCTTTTGTAGAGACAAGGACTGATTGATGCCCAGGCTGCTCTCAAACTCCCAGCTCAAGAGATCGATCCTCCCACCTGGTTATAGGCATGAGCCACCATGCCTGGCCCAGATGTTTTCTTATTATTAGATTATGCATTTTGGCAGGAATATTATCTAGTGAGATTTTTTATCAGGATTCATTTAAAATAATAAAATAAGCAGGGCATGGTGACTCACACCTGTGATCACAATACAGGAAGGCTGAGATGGGAGGATCGCTTGAGCCCAGGTGTTCAAGACCAGGCTGGGTGACTTGATGAGACCCTATCTCTATGAAAAACACAAAGATTACCTGGGCATGATGGTGGTGCACCTGTGGTCCTAGCTAGTTGAGAAGCTGAGGTGGGAGGACTGCATGAGCCTGGAAAGTCAACCCTGTAGTCAGCAGTAATCATGCCATTGCACTCCAGCCTGAGTAACAGAATGGGACCCTGTCTCAAAAATAACAACATAAGAATATTGGCTGGTTGCAGCAACTCACAACAGTAATCTCAGTACTTGGGGAGGCCGAGGTGGGCAGATCACTTGAGGTCAGGAGTTCAAGACCAACCTGGCCAACATGGCGAAACCCCATCTCTACTAAAAATACAAAAATTAGCCAGGCATGGTGGTGCACACCTGTAATCCCAGCTACTCAGGAAGCTGAGGCAGGAGGATCATTGAATCCAGGAGACGGAGGTTTCAGTGAGCTGAGATCATGCCACAGCACTCCAACCTGGGTGACAGAGGAAGACATCTTTAAAAAACAGCTGGATGCCGTGGCTCATGCCTGTAATCCCAGCACTTTGGGAGGCCGAGGCAGGCGGATCACAAGTTCAGGAGACTGAGACCATCCTGGCTAACACAGTGAAACCCCATAGCTACTAAAAATAAAAAAAGATTAGCCGGGCATCATGGCACATGCCTGTAATCCCATCTACTCGAGAGGCTGAGGCAGGATAATCGCTTGAACCTGGGAGGCAGCAGTTGGAGTGAGCCAAGCTCGTGCCACTGCACTCCAGCCTGGGCAACACAGTGAGGCTGCATCTCAAAAAATAAAATAAATAAATAAATAAATAAAAATAAAATCGGCCAGGTATGTTGATGCTTGCCTGTAATCCCAGCTACTTGGGAGGCTAAGGCAGGAGAATCACTTGAACCTGGGAGGCAGAGTTTGCAGTGAGCTGAGATTACGCCATTGCACTCCAGCCTGGGTGACAAGAGCGAAACTCTGTCTCAAGCGCACACACACACACACACACACACACACACGATCATTATGTGCAGTTGCTATTCTAAGCACTGTGCATCAACTCATTTAACCCTCAGTACCCTTATATAGTGGGTACTATTATTATCTCCATTTTGCAGAAGATAAAATTCATGCCCGTGGAAGTTAAGTAAATTGCCAGGATTTGAAACTGGAGAGTCTGGCTCAGAGCCCAGGCCCTCACAAATATCTTACCTGCGCTGATTCTGG